CACGCTGGGAGAGGTGCCAAACAGGGGTGTAGAATGCACAGTAGGCACCACAGGCATGCCAGAGAGGCCAGCATCATTCTCAGAGAAGCCCAAATGCCTACCATTCTCCACGGTGGTGCCACCCATAAAAATGACAGAGCCAGAAGCAGAGGGGAGTTAAGGTTGGGGGACAAATTAACTCAAATCCTCTACCATCAAAATGATCAGACAAAATGGGTATCTAAGGCAACTTCACTGGTAAAATTCAGAACATAGCAAAAGCCACTGGTCCACACTTACAAGTGGCAGAGAAAAGGGAAGAGGTTTCCATAATAAAGAATCAAATGTAAAAAATAAAGGGCAATATCGTTCATTTGTTTTCATTTTCTTTCATTTTGGTCATCACCAAAGTTAGTTTCTGAAGGATCTAGGGCAATCGATCATAATGTAAAGAGAGATAGATTCAGTACCTTGCCTCCAGAGATTTACAATCCTAAATTTACCATTTATTTTATTACATGATGGATGCCGTCTTGTCAGGAATTATGTATAGATCAGAAACAGTACTCCAGCCACAGTGAAAATAGTCTCCAGAGAGCACATCGAAAGCATCAGCTCAGCTATGTCAGCAGCTACTGAGTCCCTGTCCACAGTGACCCTAGTTAGATACAGCTAGAAAAAGAAATAGGCATTTAGATGCTGGTTTGAAACCTTGAGAGCTTGCAGGGTGAAATCTGAAATTGGCCCCCATACACAGAGGGCAAGGAGAGACTGAAGAAGAGGTAGACACTCTAGATTGGGGGGTGGCAGCTTTAATAAGCAAGAGAACTTACATATGAGGCTTGTCTTGGGCGTCTGCAAAAGAAACGGACTTCCTCACCTGCCTACCAGAATCTTAAAAGTTTATCTTTTTCAGTCATGTATATCACCCAGTTGGTCTCAACAACACCTTCTTCTCCCCAGTGTTCATAGCAGACCTATTCACAATAGCCTAGACACTGAAACAACGAAAGTGAACGTCAACAGACGAATGGATAAAGACGATGTGGTATATTTACAGGAATACTACTCAGCCACAAACAAGAATACAATAATGCCATTTGCAGTAACATGGTTGGACCTAGAGATTGTCATAATAAATGAAGTGAGCCGGAAATAGAAAGGAAAATACTATGTGATACTATATGTGGAATCTAAAAAAAAAATAAATGACATAAATGAACTTACTTGCAAAACAGAAACAGACTCACAGTCATAGAAAACAAACTTATGGTTACTGGAGGCGGGGGTGAAGGGATAAACTGGGAATTTGGGATTTGCAGATATACAGTATTATATATAAAAGAGATAAATGACAAGGTCCTACTGTACAGCACAGGGAACTATATTCAGTGCCTTGTGATAGCCTATAATGAAAAAGAATATGAAAAGGAATATATACATATAATGTATAACTGAATCACAATCCTGTACACCAGAAATTAACACAACACTGTAAACCGACTATACTTCAATTTTTTTTAATTAAAAAAGAACCAACGTCTTCCTCTTAAGGAGGTGGCCAATTTCAAATTTCATCCAGCAAGCTCTCCAGGTTTCAAACCAGCATCTGTATTTCTTTTCCTAGCTGTATCTAACTAGGGTCACTGGGAACAGGGACTCAGTAGGTGCTGACATAGCTGAGCAAAAAGTCTATACCGCTGATGCTTTTGATGTGCTATGTGAAGATTATTTTCACTGTGGCTGGAGTGCTGTTCGTAGAGAGTTTAAGAAACACTAGAGTATTAATCTCTAAAGGGCCCCATACCCTTCAGCATGTTAAAATAACACTGCGTCTCCAAGGAGAAATACACTGAACAGTGCATTCCCCACACAGCACTTCATGAATGTTCTTGAGCAGAGACCAGAACCTCTTCTCACAGAGCAGATTGGAAAATCAAGAGTTTCAAAGAACATATTTCAGAAAACATGATACAATGGTTATTCAGGACTTACCAGCAAAAAACAAAAGATCCATTCAGCCTCAACACCAGTTATTGTGGAACCAACCAAACTGAGCTCTATTGTTACAAAATTGTTTCCTTCCTCCCTCTACTCCCCACAAATTACCTTCTGTGTAATCTGATTTTGCAGAATCAGGGATGCTTAAAATATTCAAAACCAATATGCTGGTTTTTTTTAAGGGGTGGAAATGACCTTCTAAGTCTATGATAAATGATTTTTTTCTTTTCCATTTTTGAAAAATTGGGACAATAGCAACGGAAATTTAGATTGGCGTTGGTAAATTTAGGACATTTTGAAGGGTTTGAGTATCACACTTTTTTCTGATTATCTGCTGATGAAAGGATGTCAAAGAGGAACTTTAAATTGTCACACCCGGGGAATCTGTATTTTTAATCACCGAAGAGCAACAAAATTCAGGACATAAAAAGCCAAAGGTACCAATTCACTCACCCTGGCAGGACAAATTCATACTGAATATATGGTAAAGAGTCTTATTTTGTTTCTGTCTAGTTCTTTGGGTAGAATGAACTGATGAGTTTTTAAAAATCTGCCAACTGTTGACTTTCTTCCATATTTGCTGTAGATCTTTATTTTTTTCAAGTAAAGCTAACCATGCACATTATTTGTGTGATAATACCATAACATTGTTCATGATAAAGATCTTTATGAGACGTACACATTAGAATTAAACAAGATGCATATTATAACTCAATAAAATTATATATATACATATTTCAATATCTGAATGGCAAAATATTTTCTCCTTTTAGACACCATATTTTTACAAACGTTCTAATCTCTCATAAATCAATTTAATAATTTTCAGAACTTAATGAATGCCGCAGAAATACAATTTAAATTATATTCAGCAGCCTACCCAGTCATCTTGTATTACACTGATATTAGCAAGGAACGCAATGCCCAGGAGTTGACGTTTTTTGAGAAGTTTATCCACAAAAACAGCCAAAGTGTCTAATGAAAATAATTTCCATTGGAAACTTTCAAAGACATATATTTTCCAGCTCTTTCAGATAGAAATACTGAATATAAGTTAACCATTTTTGGATTACGCAGTGTTATCAGAATTCCTACATCTGAGACGTGTTTGAGTTACATCCGTAGCTCTATTCACCAGGACAGGCAATTGCCCCAAATTCTGTTTACTGTCGTCCCTTCCTCCCAGAGAACCATCTCTTCTCAGTGCAGCTGGGATGTTCTCATGCTTTCTGAACTGCCTCCAATTTTCCTCCCATCTTCTGGAAGTTAATCAGAGGCTACCCTTCCTCCTCTCCAGAGTAAAGCTCATGAATTTTGTGTTAGTTACTCCCTGTAAAGAGAGGATTTCGCTCACTTCTGGATTTAGAGCTGTATTCCAGGGAGAGTCGAGCAGGCCGAATGTCTGACCTCCCAGGCAGTGAAATGTTTATACACAAAGAGACCATTTTCACGTTTGTTCACTTGCCCCGTGTCCACAATGTTTATTTGCAAAACTTCCTGTAAGAGATTGCCAGGAGGCTCCGGGTCCAATTTCAAACTAATTCATAGCAACTCTTGGTCCCTGTTTTTATTTACTCTCTATCTGGTTCCATAAATGTTTTAGAACCACTAAGCCTTTACGGTTAGCACTTCTGAGTTTTCCTTTTACTTTGAAATGCACTTCAGGTTTCTCTTTCTCTATAAATAAACTTTGGGTATGTACTTTCTAAGTCAGTCAGGCCAAAAGCAGTTTGAAAATCACAGGCCAGCCTAAGAACTTCACCTGTATCATGGTTTTTAATTCTTATTCATGACAGCCTTCAAATGGGACATTACTACCCCCCATCAACAAGCGAGTTTACTGAGACTCAGAAAAGCTTAAACAAAAGCCATCATCCAACATTGAGGAGCGGTGGAATGAGAATTCTCACCAGACATTTCTGACTCAAAACCTCTGGTCAGTTCAACGATAACACATGGCTTTTCAAAACAGTCAAAAAGCAAAACAATCAGGGGCCATTACATGTTCAGACAACCACCTAGAACACAGGTCCGCAGTCAATATTCAAAAGGACCTAAATTCTTTAAGGAAAGGTTATATTTTATCCAATATATTTCTTTATGACCTTGAAATTCTAGTATACTTTAGGAGTTTTCAACCCAACAATGGTTATTTTTTTCTACCTTTCAAGTTTTAATATCATTAATAGTGCATAAATCTCAACTTCAGACATCCAGAACGATGCATTCTCAAGAGTTTAAGAAGTTCACGGTCTTACGGTCAATATGGTTTTTACTTTTTGCTACTTGTACCGCTATGAAAATTAGCCGTGCCGTTCCGATGTTAACGCTGTGGCCACATTGACTTTACAAACATAATTAGCCTTCTGTACCATCAGGTGGACCCTGATCAACACATTTTAACTTAGATTATAGTATATTTTATATTTGAGCAAACATAGTATATTTTATATTTGAGCAAAAAATGTTTTTCTTTGGCATTTAATTTCTTAGCATCAAGGTAAAGCTACTTTTACAACTTTTATAGCAAAAAAGTAAAAAATAAAATCTTTTTGGAGAATACACTTTATCCTTACATCAGAAGTTCATTAACTTATCCATAAAACATTTAAACATTCCACAAGAGTTATACTTTCCTTGACACATATTCCTGGCATCCAGGAGAAAACCTGGACTTTGAACACTAGCTGAACTTCCTATCAGTAAAGAAAATAATCTTCCAGTATTGAGGCAATTGCAACCAGGGCTCAAAATAAGTGGATTCTGGTTTTAAAAATGGAGACAAACCCCATCACTTAACCAAATCAAATTTGCCCACATTCTAGCAGTGACATTTTATTAATAACTTTATTACATTGTTTTCAGTAAAGCCCACGGAACTCATTAATTTCAAGGCTGCTGACCAGAAAAATACAGAACGATAGGCTGGTTAATACAACTTTTCCAAAGTATGACAGCTGATTTTTTCACTCCATCAGTTACATCATAAATCTGTGTTTGCTAGATCTCACAAGTCTTACCGTCAATTTCTCCTCTAAATTCTCGTTTAATAAGCTTCCTTTTTCATGCTTTTCAAATTCCATGTTGAAAGAGAAGGAGAGAGAGAGGAACAGAAACGGAGGGATTCAGATTCTGTCTAGAAAATGATTTGACATGCTTACATGTTCGATATCGCAGGACATACCAAGTTGTGAGAGCCTGGGACGCTATCAGAAAGCCCTGGCGATAATTTCTGGTTAGCTAGTGTTTCCATTTATAGATGTTCAAACCCCATCCATAAACACAGCACTGAAAGAAGTCAGGCAGCTGGCCTGAGATAATGATAAATGTCACTAGATATAAAAGCAAACTCTTCAACAGGAGACTATCCCAATAGGTTAGGTTCCCTGAACCAACAAAGACGTATATGACAAACAGCCACTATCAAAGAATTCATTCATAGCCATTGGAGCAGAATAAAATATACTCCAGAATATGGATCTAATAAACCAATTTTAAAAGTACAAATGTGGGGGGTGGTTATAGCTCAAGCGGCAGAGCACATGCTCGAGGTCCTGGGTTCAATCCCCAGCACCTCCTCTAAAAATAAATAAATTAACCTAACTACCTACCCCCTCCCCCAAAATTTTAAAAACTAAAAAAATTTCAAAAATAAATAAAAGTACAAATGTAATGGTCATATAACAAATATAAATGAGCCAGTCTAGTTCTTCCAAATTCTAGATATTTATGCGTTATTTCATAGCTCAAGACTTTAAAAAGTCCCTTAAAGGAAAGAGCAAAGAATAACTAATTAAAACTATTCAGATGCATAATACATATATTCAAAGGATGTTGCCAGTTTCCTTCTGTGAAAAGTGGGCAAATGATGTTTTGAAACACCATCAAATAAAAATGGTGTTTTCCTTGCCAGAAACTGATTTTATTCTTCACTATCCTGGTTTTCCTACTGGGAACAAAGTTATGACATAGAAGATGAAATTCACTTTTTCCAATGGAACAAATGTTTTCAGAATTCTTTAGAAGTTGTTATATGCCTTGAAGAAAATTCACTGTGTAGCTCCTTGGTAATTTACTCCACTGTTTTTTTTCAGCAAAATGACTACGTGGCTGGCAATAAAAAATAAAATTGGCTTTCATTGTAAGGGAAGACGGATCTCTACAGGAGTCTCACCCCTTAGCCTGTTTCAAGCAAACGTCCTTTTCAGACCTGTTTCTGATCTCAACTCAAAATTCCTATCAGTTTTCCCTTCACTTTTTAAGAAAACACTTCAGGAAACGTGTGGCGAAGCTGGATCCTTGAGCGTGACTCCTGCTGGTTCTCTGCTGCCCGGCAGGGGCGCTCTAGAGCTCATTCTGCATCAAGACGACAGGGCTGGAGAGTCCAGAAGGGAAGCACTTTAAAAGGAAATAAAGCCACCGAGCCCCGCTTCAGGGTGCGAATTCAGACACTCTCTCTCGGACTCGTGGGCGAAAGGGGCTTCCCTCTTTGGCTAAACTCTGAGTTCCAGAAAGGGAATCACACGCGCTAGTGGTTGTCCCAACATGTTGGCAAATGAAGTCGGACAGGCTTATTAGCATGCGAGACTGGCATGTCTCAAAAGCAAGGCGATAGCTTAAATTTTATGTGAAGGGAACTTCCAAAATCTCTCTAGGGAAAAAAAAAAAAGACGTGCTATGGCTGCAAAAGGAAACTCAGTTATTGCTAGTTTAACGCCTGACGGTGAAATTCAGGCTCCAGTTGGGAGCAGAGGGGTGAGTGGGATACAGGGCTGACTGGGGAGAGGCTAACAGAGGTAATGAACCAGTGACCGGAGGAGGGATGGAAAGTCTAGCTTAACACACATGCACTGAATATCTGTAATGGGTGAAGATTAGGAGAGGGAGATTTTTTTAAAATAATAAATAAAAACAATGACAAAATGAAAAGATACAACTTCTACTTTTGTTTCCTCAACAAACCCGCAGCGTAGGCAGGACAGGGTAGCAGCATGCCTCTCTAGCGCGCTTCCTAGCTCTCACCACCGGCCGGGAACTGCTTCAAGACTTGACTTGCCACATGTTATCATCAATTCTCAAAACCACTTTCAGAAGGTAGATACTGTTCTACCCGCTTCGCCTTAGTGTTTATTACACGTCTAGGTAGATACAATTATTGTCTCCTTTGTTATGAGCAGAACTGTGTTTTTTCCAAAATTCGAATGACATCCTCACTCTCAGTGTCTCAGAATAAGACTGTATTTAGAGAGAGGGTCTTTCAAGAGGTCATGAAGTTAAGATGAGGTCGTGAGGGTGGGTCCTAATCCAACATGACGAGTGTCTCTCTAAGAAGAAGAGATTAGGACAAAGATACACACAGAGACCACGTGAAGACAGAGAGAAGACAGCCATCTCCAAGCCAAGGAAACTATACTAGCAATAACAGAGCAATATACTAGCAATATATTAACAATGTACTAGCAATATACTAGCATTATACTGGCAATAACTGAGTTTCCTTTTACAGAACCAATCTCAGAAGAACCAACCCTGCGGACACCTTGCTCTTGGACTTCTAGCCTCCAGAAATGAGAGGAAATGTATTTTTGTTGTGGAAGTCACCCCAATCTGAGACTTAACAGACTAGCCACCCTAGCAAACTAATGTACCCATTTTAGAGCTAAAGAAATAAAACACAGCTGCACAGCCACTAGCCAGCTCTCAGGTCCCCTGGCCCAAGCGCCTACCCACTGGGCACTTCGGCGCCCCTGAACAAACAGTCTCATCACAGGCAAGGCAGGGCGAGTGGGGAAGTAGCCCCAGCCCTGGGCGGTGGGGACTGTCTGCTCCATCCATTTACAGAGATGCTCAGTTACCATTTATGTATGTTCTGGGGACAGGAGCTTTCCTTAGGTAAAATTACATGCACGCAAAGGCCAGCCCTAGTCCACTTGCTGGTCAAACAGAAGAGATGAGCTACAGCGATCTCCTTCCTGTTGGTCCGTCACAACAAACACAGCCCTCTCTCTCACCAGAATCACATGGCTCCCTTCTCCCGTGATCCAGAGCTTCCCCAGGGACCATCTGAAATAGCAAACCCTCTGTCCACTCCTTTGCTGGTCTCTTCCCTGTAGCTCTTCCCAGCTCTGGTGGTATATTACTTCACATGATATTTTAAGTGGATCCGTGTCTGCTTATTTGCAGTTCATCTCTCCTACTACAATAAAAGCACCAGACAGTGTTTTGTTTTCATCACTTTATCCAGGTACTTAGGACATAGTGAGGACCAGATAAAGGAAAGGACTTAGAAAGGAAAGAGGGCAGGAGAGAGAGGAAGGAAAGGAAAAAGCAAAGAAGGCAAGAGGGAGGAAGGGAAGGAGGGGGAGACAGGAGGGAAGTGTATCAAATGGATGTGACTTAACAGCATTTAATACATTATTATTTACAAGATCTTTGGCAGAAAACAGAGATAAAACGCATGTTTATCCAACCCAAATCACACTACAGATGAAAGAAGTATTGATTGTTCACTTATCTGAAACAACTAACTATTAAAGGAGAAATAAACTGACTTAGGAAGAAGGAAGAATTGGATTTATTTGCAGATTCTGTCGCTTTCTAGGTGGGTCACTTTAAGCAAATTAATTCTCAGAGCTTCAGTTTCCTCTCCCTTAAATAAAGGAATGATATCAACCTCTTAAAGTTATTACAAAAATTTAAATGTGGTAACAGGTGTAAAGAACACAACACAGTGTCTGGCATTAAGCAGCTTCTCCATGGAAGTGAGAGCCATTACTTCCCTGGGCTTCATGATATCTAGAAACAAAAGTTAATTTCAAAGACAGTATCAAAGTCTCCTATCAAATCTGACACAAAAATTAACAGAGAGAATGGGAGAAAAATACTAGCAAATCATTCCTCTGCTCAGGGACTTGTACCCAGAATACACAAATAATGCTTAGAACTCAGCAATAAGAAACAACAAATAGCCCAATTTAAAAATGGGCAAAGGATTTGAATAGACATCTGTCTGAAGAAGACAACTGAATGGCCAACGAGCACATGGAAAGGTGCTCAACAAAATTGTGATTAGGGAACACAAATCAAAACCACAAGCACTTCACACCCACTAGGATGGCTAAAATCAAAACAGACAACAACACAACACCATGAATGGACCTCGAGCGCATTATGCTAAGTGACATAAGTCAGACAGAGAAACGCAAATACTGTACAATCTCGCTCAAATGTGGAATCTAAAAAAAAGACAACTCAAAGATCAGATTTCTGGTTACTAGAGGCAGAGGATGGGGTGGGGAAATTGGAGGAAGGCGGTTAAAAGATACAAACTTCCAGTTCTAAGATAAATAAGTAATGTAAACATGATTTCAATAGCTACCACTGCTATAGGGTATATATGAAATTTGTTAAGAGCATTTCCTAAGAATTCCCATCACGATTTTTTTTTTTGCTATTTCTTTTTATTGTGTCTATATGAGATGATGGACGTTAACTAAACTTACTGTGGTCATCATTTCACAACAGATGTAAATCGGACCATTATGCTGTACACTTGAAACTTACACAGCGCTGCATGTCGATTACACCTCAATGAAACTGGAAGGAAAAAACATGGCTAGGTCACAAAAATAAACACCCACCAGACAGCAACAAGCAAGGATGTGGGTAACTGGGACCCTCGTACGTTGCTGGTGGGATTGTAGTGTGGGACAGTGTGTTTCCTGCGGTACTCAAGAGCCGGATGCAAACCTGGCTAGACCCAGCCCTGAGAACTGATCTCACTCAAACGGCCAACTTTTGACCTGTGGGCGTTGCTTTCCGTTCAAGATTTACACCTGTGTCTCTAGGAGGCTCTATCTGAAAGTCAAATAGTGACTTGCGGTGGAGAGTAAGGGGCGGGGGAGGGGAGCGGTGCTGACATGAGGAGTAAAATGCAGAGCGTGGTTCTCGGAATCCTCTGGTTTTCCCAGCACCCCTGCCTGGGTCAGTGCATCAACCTCTCCGGCAGCGGTTGTCAACGCTTATGCTAAAAAATCCCTCTGACTCCTCCCATCTGTCTGTCCCTCCTTCAGGTGGGCAAAGACCCGAAGACTTTAACCTCCCACCATCACCATTTTTAAGCTCCCTTTCGGCTTCTGCAGGCGAGAGCTGCAGGGTAATCAGAGCAGCGGTACCTGCCCACAGCTTGTGAAAAGACACTGTCTACAGAGGA